ATATCCTCGTTGCTCCAACAAAGTCAGCATCACATTGGTAATTCAAAAATTGCCCGCCCGGATCCCGGGTGGGACAATTGCACTGGCATACCCTTGGTTGGGAAGCACCCGAGGAGCCACTCTTGGAGGTGGCGGGCGAGGTTCTGGAATATTGTCATTGGCATTAGCATTGGCCTGGCGGCCTCTCCGTTGTCCTTGAGGCACAAAAGGTACCTCATCCTCACCATTGTCATCAACCTCCTCCCCTGGGATCACATTACCAAGAGGGTCATTGTTGTTATTTGCCGCCATTTTGTACCTGAATTGGCGTCAAACAAAGATTAGTATCACAGAAGGAAAGAAAAGCAATATACAAAACTATTTAGATAGATAGCCAAAACCGTTAGCTCCCCAGCAACTGCGCTAAAAAGTGATCGGTGCCAACTCTGCACCACTATAGAGTGGCGAGAGCGGTCGATGCAGCTTTTACCCGAATAGGTCGGGATCGAATCCGCAGGGAGCTAGAAGTTGGAGTTGGTTTCCTATCCAAACTAGCAATGTGAAGTACTCTTAACTGCACTTCCAATCATAGTTGGTGTTTTGATTACTTCTAATATTATGCTAACAAGATGCTAAATTAAGCTAAGAGTGAAATACTTGATAGGTTATCTAATTGGTTAAAGAGGCACTAGGGAAGTGACTTTCTCCTAGGTGGATATTTGACGGATTCTCAAGTATAAAGCAAGATTGTTATGATGGGGATTACGATATAACCAATGCACGAAACTTCTCACTCTATACCTCTTGATAGTTGGAGTGATTTTGCCCTAATTGACTTTCTCAAGACCAATTGGGTATTATAATTGAGCAAGCATTTGAGGTTCAAGCCGGGTATTACTATATCTAGGTTTAACCCTTTAATTGGGGCTATCAATCTCTTGAATACGCCCCAATTCCTTGTTGGACCAATTTTCCTAGACTCACGTTCTCTTTCTCAAGAAGAACTCAAGTCATAAAGGCACAAATTAGTGTTTGCAACCACTAATTCAACATGGAAAACATAAATTAGTCCAAATATCAAACACCCATACACATTCTAGCCTTAAAACTCAAGACCCATCAAATACCCACACTAAGGTTGAGCCACAACCTTAGCTAATGGGTCTAAAAATGTCAGATTACAAAATATGACCAAAAAATGTGAAAAGAAAGTATTTATACTAGGCCGAATTTTCTGGACAAAAATACCCCCGACGAGGTAGTGCGGTCCGCACAAAATGCATCGCGAACCGCACTGAAGCTTTTTGGCTTGGCTCTGCAGTCTCTGAAGTTGGCCACCGCGGCCGCGGTGGCTTTAATGCGGTCCGCACAAAAACGACGACGGATCGCAGTGGCATTAACTCTCCCAAGTCCCAATTCTCTGAACTCCTTCTTTGCGGACCGCACAATATCGATTGCGGCCGCGGTGAGACCATTGCGATCCGCACAAACTGCTTTGCGGCCGCATTGCTTGAGTTTCAGGAATAAACACCTCTCTGAATCTCCTCACTGCAGACCGAACTAAATGGAATGCGGTCGTAGAGGATCTGTTGCACTATGCTTGGACTTGTTCTTGGTACTTGTGCATGTTTCACTCCTTTTTGAGATGATTTTGACTAATTGTCACCTTTTTGACCAAACCCTGCAAACAAGTACAACATGTAAGCCTTTGGGACTCTTTTGTACACAATTTTAATCAAAACTCAAGTAAGGAGGAGTGTAATGAACCATAATCCCTAGTTATCAGCTATCCCTTCTTTCCTTTTGGCATGATCCATATAATACAAACGAAACGAGCAAATGCACAACTTCCATAAATGAGTCTATTCATAGAAGTGCTAGATCCCTATGTTCTTGAAGTCCCATGTGTCTTATTATTACATCTTCTGTTCATGGGTCTTAGAATAAACATAAGTTGAAAAAGTTTATTTCAAGATATTAATCATAGGCATAATGGTCTTATGACACTCTGAAAGATTTTATTGACGTACTTCTCATGCACTTCGTTCATTTACATTGACCCGTGACCAGATGGCGTTATGTACACGTACATATGTATATGGGATATGGGAAAAGGTTACGGCGTATATATGCACCACCACCTGATCAGTTAGTATACGTTGATGATTTGCGCACAGTGACCGAGATGATATGATGGGATGCCCTTAGAGGCTTGATGATGTTATGAACGCATATGCCCATGCATGGTATGACATTTATACGCACATTATAATATTAAATGATTCACGAGGATTTTCAGATATACATGTTGAGTCTTTTACTCCATGTTTTTCTCATGTCTATTGTTCACTGATTTTCATTCCTTACATACTCAGTACATTATTTGTACGAACGTCCCTTTTGCCTGGGGACGCTGCGTTTCATGCCCGCAGGTCCCGATAGATAGGTTGAGAGTCCTCCAAGTAGGCTATCAACTCAGCGAAAGATGTTGGTGCGCTCCATTTTCTCCGGAGTTGCTTATTTGGTTAGTATGATTTAGACATGTATTGATTAGTATGTCGGGGCCCTGTCCCGACCTTATGATGTTTATGTACTCTTAAGAGGCTTGTAGACATATGTCATGTATATGAAAGATTGTATGGCCTTGTCGGCTTATGTTCAGTGTACGAGTGATTATTTTGGCCTTATAGGCCCGTACGTCATATGTATAAGTTAGTATATCAGGTTGGGTCGTTTTATGTAGACTGTTCTCTCATGTTTTATTCTTGTTACCCATACGGCCCTTCTACCCCATTTACCCATGTTGATGTAATGAGAAAGATACGTTATATTGGTACTCGGTTGAGTAAGGGCACGTGGTACCGGTCGCGTCCCATCGGTTTGGGTCGTGACATGTATGGATTCTTGTATTAGTTATTGTCATTGGTCGTGTGAGGCCATTATCGTTATTGATGATTGTGGTCCTATGTGGCGTTGAATTATTGAGTTTCTACAGGAAAAGTTAGTAATAGATTGTTACAAAGGCGACTCCGCCAAAGTTTATATAGATCCAGGGGAGTTAAAACATTCGAGGACGAAGTTTCTAAGGGGGGAAGAATGTTACATCTCGCACTTTCGTACGTTAAAGTTTTGCCTTCAGTTAATCGACGTAGACTAGGGGATGAGATTATCTTGAGGTTAACATATTTATGCTATTTACAACAAGCGATAAGTAAGTGTCGTGAAGGATAAAGGGTAAACGAATTAAAGAATTGAGTTTCGTTAAAGGTTGTCGATTTGGGATAAAATACGATCCGAGCAATAATATCCGGTATTTATGGACTAGTACTATACAAGGTACCCCATGACCACGATAGTAGGGTACGTAAAATGTATTAAAAGTGAGTAGTATATTAAGTAATTTGAGATAATTCTTAATTATGTGGGTAATTGGTTAATTATTGGTTAATGGGAGATTAACTATTTAATTAAGTAATGGTTGGATAAGTGATATGGAATCGTAGCGAAAACACGTATAATGCAAAATACGCAGAATCAAAAAGGATAGAAGATTAGAGTTTAAAATAGAGAAAGACAAGAACCTAACAATGAACTAGTTAGATCCTTTGAATTCCTACAGTAAACACTTATCTAGGAAGAACAAGAACAACTAACATGGATCAAGCTAAGCATAGAATGCAATTCAAAGTCCCTATAAGATATATCAACTAGAACAATAAATTAACATTCAAATACAAAAAATAATCCAAAAGTATGAGCATGAACTCATACATGATAAACCTAACATAGATAATCTAGAAAACATGGTAAATAAAGAAAAATAAAAGATACCCTAAACCTCTCAAGGTTTTGGTCTTCACTTATTAATTCGTCATCAAAAGCTCGAGAGGTTTAGGTTATCTTTTATTTCTCTTTATTTACCATGTTTTCTAGATTATCTATGTTAGGTTTACTCTTGGATTATCTTTTGTATTTGAATGTTAATTCATTGTTCTGATTGATATATTTTCTAGGGGCTTTGAATTGCATTCTATGCTTAGCTTAATCCGTGTAAGTTGTTCTTGTTCTTCTTAGATTAGTGTTTATTATAGGAATTCAAGGGGTCTAACTATTGTCTTTCTCTATTTTAAACGCTAAGATTCTACGTATTTTACATTATCCGTGTTTTCGATACGATTCCGTATTATCTTGGTATCAGAGCGGAGGTTTTGGATTGTTCTATCAATCCTTGGGTCTTTGTTTTGATTATCAACAAATCAAAAAATTTAAAAAAATAAAAAATTCGAAAAATGGAAATATCACTATTCACCCGTTATTGTTGTTCACTGTTTTGTGTTTAATGTGCTAAAAAAATCGAGTCCTTGTTCTCTCTTTGCTCGAGTGTGAGACCGAAAAAAAATTGTTTAGTCCACTGAAAATTAATTGATATCAATTGAAAACGTTGGATTACTTGGGTATTAGTTCGATTCCACAACTGATTTTGAGTTGAAAATCGATTGAGCCCTAGCTGAAGTTGGGGTGTTTGAAATATGTAAATTAGGGCTCGAATTTGAATATTTGTTGCTTAAATTTGTCGGAAACTTGATTGTGGACTCGAATTAGAAGATTGAGTTAATTTGGAGCTGAATATCTAGGGTGTTGGTTGAAAATTTCGGAATCGAAGCCGAAGAACTTAGGTCTAGTGAATTCGGTTATGATGGAATAAATTGAATCACTGGGGTTTGATTCTTAAGCTATTTAAAGTTGAAGCTACCTATTGGTGTTGATTGAACTGGTTCGATAGGGTTTCGTTCGGAATTTCTGAACTCAATTCTTCGAAGACGACGATGATCTGGGTTCCATTGATTTCGTGAAAATTGAATCAAATTAGCTGCTGGGATTTGTTCGTACTGTTGTTGGGAAGGTGTAATCCTTATTTGAGTTTGTTTTGTGGGGATTTGATCGAGAACCGAAGTCTCTGCGGTTGAAGCTCGACGAACTCTGAAGAACAGTTTCAAATTTCTGGAATTGAGTTCCTGAAGCTGTTGCGTAGCATACACGCTCTTCGGCACACCAGAAACTGCTAATTCTGCGCAGTTCAGTTGTGAAGAACATTCCAGAATCAGCAACAGAAATGAAAACTTTTACTTTCTACTGTGGGGGGTTGAAAATCATGGGTTGAGTTCGAAACTTGGTGCTTCTGCCACAGTTTGGTTCTCCCTGTACTGCAGTGTTCATCTTCAAGACTGGTTGGAAATTGGTTTAACTGAAGTAACCTGTTTTAGTTGCATCCCTGATCAAAATTCTCCAATGTTTTCACATTGTTAGGATGTTGTTTCTGCCTTTTCTAGCTAAAACTCTGTATTGTTTGAGTTGTAACTGTTGCATCAGTTAGCTGCAGTCACTGCAGTGTTTCAACTATCAGTTACACCAACTGCAAGGTAGAAGATTGACAGTGAACCTGCTTCAGTTTTAGGACAACATATGTGCTGATAAAGTTTGCTCAGTTTAGGCATTCTATCCAGAATGTGCACAGTTGGGAAAGGTTTTGAGCTGCAAGTTTACTTAGTTGCAGCAGTATTTTGAAGGTTAATTTCTGCAGCCTAAATTGGTCTAAAACAGCCTTTGGAAACCTGTAGTTGTGTAACTGTTTCTGATCAGTTCTTTGCACCAGTTTTTGTACATCTTTGGAGGTGGTTAACTTCATTCTTGACCAATAGTTGTCTGTTGAAAATCTACAGAATTTGAACTTTGAAAATATGCAGTAGTTGTGAAGTTTGAAAACCAGTTGGCAGAAGGATTTGCTACAGTCTTGGGTTGAATTTAGAGGGTGTTTCACTGCTGAACTTTGGTCAGCTACTGCTTGGTTTGAAACAACCTGAGGACAATTTTGTGAGCTTGAAACTTTGGGGAAATTGGCTTCAGTTGGGTGTGTAAGTCTAGTTTCTACACAACTGGTTGCTCAGAAGAATTCCAACAGCCTGCAACCTAATGATCAATTTGTCTAGATTTGCGAATCTGACCTGTTTTACAAAAATAGCCCGTTTTTGAGAATATGACCAAAATTTGGAAAAGTGTCTAGTTTTGTAGTTTCTTTTCTTTTCTTTCTTCTCAATTTGTAGTAAACTAAATTCTCAACTAGATTAACATGATATTAGTTCATATTGAGTTTATTTCTAGTTTCTTTGTGTGCTTTATTTTATTTCGTGCCATTTTTTTCGTGCTTTTCTCTTTTAATTTCATTGTGAATTGTTTGGCTCAAGTCCGTTAGCTTTTAGTTGTGTATTCATTGGTGTCGCATAAATTTCATTCCGAACCGATACTTGATTGCCTACTTCGATTGATTTGAGAACGTTGGTTATGAAGAGAACTTTTAGATACCCTTGTGTGGAAAAAGGCTAGAGTGGTGAGTTCAATTGTGCGAGGTCACAAAAGCCTTTGACCTTTGAGTGTAAACACGAGTGTTGAGTGACATATATATTGCGTGAAACACTAAGGGAGTGAATGTGAGGTCCTATTTTTGACTAACCAACTTTCTTGCTATAAGTTTTCTTTTGTAGGTACAAGGAGTCATAAGGGAGGTATGGATGGTTATGGCACTTCTTCTTATGAAACTAATTGTGCGTCTCCAAGTGTTGAAATCTTTTATGATGAAAGTGGGAGAAAGATAAATTTGAGGCATTATCTAGCGAATGTAGAAGGCTATGAAGGTTGTTTGGTTGCTATAAGTACTCACTATGCGACCAACTTTATAGCTTCTTCCTTTGTTGAATGATTGAGATTGAGTTGTATTCCAAGGGAATCGCATTATAAATTTTGGGGTGAGTCGGTTGATAGAGGTGTGATGGTTACTATAACCAAATGAGACTTTAAAGATGTGGTTTGGTGTAATGTATACCCTATGAATTATTGCCATGTACGATTGGGAAAACCTTCGTTTCTTGATCATAATCTTTCAATTGATGTAAAGTGGAATAGGTATGTGGTTGATCTAAATGGAAGGGGGCATTCCTTCATTCCTAAATACTTTGAGGATAAATTGGTGGCAAGGGAAGATACTGGATATGGAGTTTGTAGTGCAAATCAATTCACAAGTCATTCTTCTAGTCCAAGGGGAGATTATGATGATTCTACTATGCCAAGCCAAGTTGTGTGTTTTGATGCTTGTTACAATGCTTGTTACACTTATCCACCATCCCACTGCCAACACCAACTACAACCCCCAGCCACACTTCAACCACCACAAGTACATCAACTACAACTTTATCAACCTTCACCACAACCTAGACCACCATTAACTCTACCTCTAAAACATATGCCTCAAGCACCACCAAGGAGGGACAATCTCCCTTCTCCACAACCCATACCACCTCAAGAGCCTCGAATGATTAACAACCCACTTTTTCACCATGATCATGAGACCACCTTGAATGAGTTCACGACATCCAACAATTTTCTAATGGAGAATATAGGAGGAATGAAGATATATTGGTGAGAAAAGCTTTGTCTACTTTTATAGAGGAAGAAGTGAAAAATAAACAAAGACCAAACCTTGAGAGGTTTAGGGTATCTTTTATTTCTCTTTATTTACCATGTTTTTAGATTATCTATGTTAGGTTTTTCATGTGTGAGTTCATGTTCATACTCTTGGATTATCTTTATGAATGTTAATTCATTGTTCTAGTTGATATATCTTTTAGGGGCTTTGGATTGTATTCTTTACTTAGCTTAATCTGTGTTTCTTATTAGTGTTCTTCCTCGATTAGTGTTTATCATAATAAATTCAAGGGGTCTAACTAGTCCATAGTTAGGTTCTTGTATTTCTCTATTTTAAACCCTAATCTTCTATCTTTTTGATTTCGTGTATTTTTGCATTATCTATGTTTTCGATAGATTCCGTATCAATAAGACTAACCCTCCCCCCACGTGGCAGCACCCCCATCCCCATGTATGACTCTTAAGTCAATATATAGGTGGCAAGATTAAGATATGTGGGCAAATCTTGTAACGTGAGTCACATTATTCATTTAAGGAAAGAGATCCATTTTAAGTCTTAGGAAGATGAGTCATTAGTCACATATTCATCTAAGGAAAGAGAGCCCATTTAAGTCTTAAGAACGTGAGTTCTTCATAAATGAATTCATGTGTACATTACAAATCAAGTGGAATCTCTTATAGTGGCTGGTCGTGAGTTCTTCAAAGAGTAGAACAATTACATACCAAAATTAGATAATGTTGGTTGTTGATTCTGTAAAGCGTAAATTGCAAATTCTAAGCGAATCGGTTCAGGTATGTTAAGGCTATCCCTTCTTTATTTTCGGCATGATCCATATGATACAAATGAAACGAATAAATGCACAACTTCCATAAATGACTCTATTCATAGAAGTATTAGAGGTGCCTATGTTCTTGAATTCCCATGTATCTTATTATTACATCCTCTGTTCATGGGTCTTAGAAAAATACGTAGTTGAAAAAGTTTATCCGAAAGGTATATTGATCTTATTAACATATTTTTATGCATTTCATTCATTTATACATGTATATTGACCCATGACCAGATGTCACTATATATATATATGGGATACGGGAAAAGGTTACAGCGTTATATACGCACCACCAAAAGATCAGTTGGTATATGTTTATGATTTTGCCCATAGTGGACGAGATGATATGATGGGATGCCCTCAAAGGCTTGATGATGTTATGTCACCTATACCTATGCATGACACGACATTTACACGCGCGTGCATGATATTATAACCATTTCAGGATTTGCAAAGTTATTTAGACTTAAAGGCGGAATTCCTTATTCCATGTTTCATCTATGTCTCTTATGAACTGATTTTCATGCGTTACATACTCATTACATTATTTGTACTGACGCCCTATTTCCCGGGGCCTGCGTTTCATGCTAGCATGTGCAAGTAGGCAAGCTGGCGGCCCCCCTTCTTAGGATTCTTGATCAGCGAGAGTTGGCGTGCTCCACTTGATCTGGAGCTGCTTTTGATTTTGGTACGATATTCTTGTATACATATATGGGTATGACGTGGCCAGTCCCGTCCTTCTATAGCTTTATTTTCTATTAGAGGTCTATAGACAGTTATAGTTGGATAGTATGTGGCCTTGTCGGCTTTCAGTTTTGGGTATCTTGTCTATAGCAGTATTGCCGGCTTGCCTACTGTATTTCGCATGTATATGTATATATGTCTTTTGGATAGGTTTCCCTCATGTATGTTATTCATGTTTATATCCTAGACACATGCTTAAGGATGTTCGACAGGTAAGACTCAGGCATCCGACACGTCCCACCGATTTGGGTCGTGATAAGGATCAGGAAACAGGCTAAAGAAAAATGTATTGAGCTTTGCCTACTACATTTATATTAGTTTTCTCTTTTTTATGTGTGTATAAGAATTCTAGGAAAAGAGAAGCTTATCTTCTACTGTAATTGTTGTTTACTGTTTAGATATCCTTTTGAGACACTTATTTCTTGTTTGCTCTTTTTTTGGTGTACATCTGGATTATCGTTGCTTCTTTCTCTTTGTTTCTTCAACAACCTTCCTTTGTGTTTTCGTCTTTTCCATATCAGCTTTGTATCTGAAGCTTTTTATGGACGATTCTGGAACTATTTGGAAAGCTATCAAAGAATCACCAGCACTTGTGGCATTAATGGCCTATTGTTTTGTTGCACTGTGGTTTGTTGGAGGTCTAACTGGCTTCCATTTGTATCTCATAGGTACAAATCAGGTTAGTTTGATTTTAAACCCTTACTATCAATAATTTAACTCTTATCTGCTGTTGTGCAGCTGGGTACTATCATAGTATTATTTTTAATTCCTAAAAGATGGCTCTGTTATTATCGTGGTGTTATTGGAAAATTTAATACAATATCGTTTTTAGAAAATGACTAGGAGATGCTTAGAACATAGCTACATTATTGCTTCCCATTTGCCCTCTATTTGCTATCATGGAGCCAAATCTTTTGTTGAATTTTCTTATTTACATTTTTTGGTTATTTTTCAAGGGTCGTTATTTCCAAAAAATATGAACAATATTAGATGATTCTGTTAATTGTATTGGAAGAAGTAGAATATTTTTGTTCAAGAAGATGATCTATAGTTAAGACTTATTATTACCCACTTTAAAAGGTAAAACACGCATTTCCTTGAATATTCTGTTTAAGTTTTTTTTGTTTTTTGCCTTGCTAATTTGTCGGTGTGTTGTTTTTGTGTCTATGTTGAAGGTTCATAAAGATCCTTTATAAGGGCTAGCTTGTCGATGTAGTTATAAAGAACAAATGCCGAAGTTTGTTCCATCTCATGTGTGTTTTCTTTTGCTTATATTTTATAGGATTCCTGAACAAGGAATTTTTTCTCCTTTTTTTTTGGGGGGGGGGGGGGGTGGGGGATGTTTAAGACAACTATTCGTAGTCAAAGATGAGTGCTCTGTGTGCTCATATGGAGAGCAAACTTTACATCTATTTAGGAGCAAATGCTGTTGAAAATGGAATTGGATGACTGCCTTTTGTGATCATATCACTTTCAAAAAACTACTTGACAGTTAAGCAGCTTTTAGTGGTTGTATGTCAATTGTTTTTCGAGAAAGAAAATTGATTTTCTCCTGATAACATACAGCTTTTACTAGCTGATTGTATTTCGTGGTGATGATAGTTAGATAATTTATTAGATATTAGTATGTTATAGAATAATTATGTTTTTATTTAGAACATCTTTTGTTTCTTTTTGAATATAGATCATTACCTTTTTATCTTTTTCTCCTCGTGAATTTTGACATGTGTTAGTTACTAATGATCTCTGCGGACCACATATGAGAACTTTCGTTATAGGGGAGATAACAGGAACAATGTGTATAACCGGGGATGCATTAGCAATTTTCTTGAAGTATTGCTCAAGGATAGAACCTCCAAAAATCAATTTTCGTGGATATGTACAGGAAGAGGCATCAAAGCCTCCTAAGAGTAACGTTCAAGAAACAGAAATAGATATCCCTGATGGGGTACGCAAATTAAGGTGGAAGACGATCTTGATATTGGAGAAGATATTATGAAGATATCTCAACGACGTAATTCTGAGGAAGTTGGTGATGTTAGAGGTACAGGAAGTGACAGGTCACCCATTGGTCGTTCTGAGGTTGACTTTGGATTTGGTCTAGAGTCTCGTGCTTTTTTTGTATATAGGCCTTCGTATAGGATAGGATCATTTTACCTCCAGACCCTCTTACTAGCCGGGACAAAACAAGTGGAAAAAAAAAAACTAAAATTCAATATCACCAATGTTTTCAACGACTCCTACTTCCTTCTGCTGGCATTATTTGGAGCAATCAGAAGGATGTTCAACTGATCATTTATTGAGATTTAAAAATGTAACACGATACTTATTGTTAGCCATGAACATGCACTGGCGTGCTCTTTCTCAGGCTTCTCTGGCTCTTCTTGTTCTCGTAAGGTATGATATGACATCTTTGTTGGAGGGAGTGGATGGTGGCTTTTACAATCATTTGCTGGTTATAAGCAATTCTTGGAAAAACTATAGTTATAGATCAAAGGCTACTTAAATTCTTTAGTTTGTATCTATCTCCTCTGGAATTTGAACAATATGTACATCTTTTCTTGTGGTTTAAGGTGCTTTCTGCAAATTAAGCTAATGGGTTTTCTGTCTTTGTATTGTAACACAAGAGCATCAGTTGAGTTCTTTTATCAAGGTGGATAGAGATTGTTTATCTCTACTCTTTGAACATCTTCATATTAGGTTAATCGGTTTGACCTTTCAAATAAAGATAATAAGTGAATAAAGCATAAGTAGTTCTTAAGATATTGGACATGAATATGACTTTGTCCCTTAAAACTAGATTAGAAAAATTTGGGCCTCGTAAATTAATGATTGGAAAAAAATCATTAAATGAAATTTAGTATAAAATTAATTAAAAACTTTGCATCTCAAAATTTTATAAAACCTTAAGTTACTATAGTTTAGTCGCATCTCGTGTTTTTGGAGGAAAAAATATTAAATAAACCTTTGTAGCACTATCAAGAAGTAATATGCAAGCTTTCTAGAAGCACAAAGGGGTCGTCTAGAATGATAACGATAATAATAATCTAGAGATTGTTTACCCATAAAATTGTGCAATTAAATTTATACGTGGTTTATAGATAAGTGAATTGATTTGATCCAAAAATAATAAATGGATCAGATAAAAATGTAAGACTTAGCCGTGAAATTGAAGTAAAACGGCAGGCATCTTAGTCCCGGCCGCAGAGCTTCTGGAGGCAGTGAAGACAATATAAATAATCAAGAAACTAAAGTTTTACTGAGCTTTTGATAAAATATGGTGTATGCTTGTCAGAAAATTCGTCCTCTTACAATAATAACAGAGCTCACTATTTATAGTTACATCTAGGGAGCAAGGTCTTAGGATCAAGCCCCTCTTAAATGACAATTATGAAGATGTCACGACCAATAATCTAACCTTGGTCGTGATGGCGCCTATCATGTTACAAGGCAAGCCTATTCCCAAAATATTACAACTAAACCGATTGTAAGAATTTAATGAAAACATTTTCAATATTTGAATTTCTCATAAACTAAATCAACTCTAAATATAATTAATATAAAATACGGAAGCTAGCCCCAAACATCGGGGTGTCACTAAGTCATGAGCGTCTAAAACTATGAACTGAGATATATAAACTGTTTAACTGTCCAAAGAAGAAATGATAAAAGGAGTAACAAGGCCCTGCGGATGCTAGCAGCTACCTTGCAGTCTCCAAAGATAGCCGGCCTGAACTCAACGATCGCCGCGCTTTAACTCACCTGGATCTGCACATAAAGTGCGGGGTGTAGTATGAGTAAAACCACCTCAGTAGTAACAGAAATAACTAAGGAATTGAGCAGTAGTGACGAGCTGAGCAAAACAGTCCAATTAACAGGTAAATTCCATAACTCAGTAAATGCCACAAAGAAATTTAACAGATAAATACAGCAACAACAAAAGTAAATGCAACCTCACAACAATGTCACTCCATCACTCAGCACTTGCACTTAGCACTCAACATCAACACTCTGCGCTCACTGGGGGTGTGTACAGACTCCAGAGGGGATCCCAAAGCCCAAGCGCTAAGCACGGACAACTCACGCGCTACCATATCAATACCTGGATCTGCACGGTCAACTCACGTGCTATGCGGATAACTCACGTGCTATGATATCAATACCTGGACCCGCACGGTCAACTCACGTGCTATGCGGACAACTCACGCGCTATGGTATTAATATCCTCACAACCAGGCCCTCGCCCTCACTCAGTCATGTACCTCACTAGCCTCACCATCATCAACAAATAAGGGAACACAACCCACATCAAGTATCACAACATATTAGCAAATAATAGAGACTAAGGTAAACATGTACAATAATTTCTATGACTGAGTACAAATAATGTGAGCATGAATAAAACCTAAACAAGGTCTTTAACATGAAGGCAAACAAGTTCAACAACAAGTAAACACATAACCACAGATAATAGCTTTTAGGCCTGGCCTCATGGGACGGACCAAGTCTCAACCCCTCGCGGTGCACACCCACACGCCAGTCACCTAGCGTGGGTATCACCACCAAACAATCACATGATATTAATTTCTTCGGGTTTATACCCCCAAAGCCAGAGTTAAAACTGTTACTTACCTCAACAACGTAAAATCCTACTCCGGGATGTCCTCATCACTCGACTCGGTCTCCAAAAGCTTCGAATCTAACCATAATCAGAATACTACTATCAACATAGTCTAAAGAATCGAATTACACAATAAAAACTACATAGACATGCCAAAAATCCGAAATCGGCCAAAACTCGGCCCCCGGGCCCACGTCTCGAAATCAGTCAAAAATGGCACAATAATAATCCTCGTCCTCTCCCGAGTCTAACTATATAAAATTTGTCAAGATCGGACTCCGTTTGGTCCCTCAAATCCTCACTTAAAACTCTTCAAAACTCAAACCTTAACTCCCTCAATTTCACTTTGAAATCATCAATCAAATCCAAAAACGAAGATGGATTTATAAATTATAATCAAAATCAAGTAGAGAACACTTACCCCAATCCATATGGTAAAAATTACCTCCAAAATCGCCCAAATCCGAGCTCCCCAACTCAAAATATGACAGAATGAACAAACCCTAGTTTTGTATATTTTTCTACCAGCTTTTCTGCCTCGTTTTTCATGCCAAACGATCCCAAAAATCGTATTTTAAGCCTCCAATGGATTCCTTGTGAAATTCTAGTCAATTTAGGCTTTTGAATCACTCAATTTGACCTTATAACGTAGGAGATATGTAGGTTTTAATATTTGCAAATAGTGCAGATTTTTAAATACGTCGTCAGTGGCAATTTCGTAATTACCCTGAAAAATCTGGCAACCTAATTCTTAGTAAAATGACCCTAAAATCCTCATACGATGTCCAAATTCGATGATTCTTTTTGCTATGGGTCCGAAATTACAATACGGACCTAATGCTTCAATCAAAAAAAGAAATCGGAGCTCATTTGTTCAATATGATATCATTTATGCTTGAAGAAACGGAGTCGAAACATAAGAAAAACGAGCGCACCACAACCCAAACCTATCCGAAACTCATCCGAGGCCCTCGAGACCTCAATCAATAATTCCAACAAGTCATATATCACTACCCGAACTTAGTCGAACCTTCGGAACACCCAAAACACCAAATCAACCTCGAATTCAAGCCTAAGAACTTCTAAACTTCCAACTTTCGTCAATTCAAGCATAATTCTACCACGGACCTCAAAGCTAAATTTCGGACACAGTCCTAATTCTAAAATCACCCAAGGAAGCTAATCGAATCATAAAAATCTAAATCCAAATTCGTTTACTCATAAGTCAACTTCCGGTTGACTTTTCTAACTTAGCTTTCTAACTAAGAGACTAAGTGATCATTTCACTCCAAAACTACTCCGAACCCAAACCTACCAACTCGATGCAACTCAACAGAGTTGAACAACACATAAATAAGCATAGATGGGGGGAAATGGGGCTATAACTCTCGGAACGAAGGACCGGGTCGTTACAGAAGATCATTGAAGAATATGTAATGGTGGGTAGTGAATGGCATATTCTCTATAACGGATTATGCACTTAATGCTACAGAATATTCTTCATTGAATGCTGCCGGATGCCAGGCATTTATCTTGACTTTATGAGTATCATTCTCTCCGATGACAAGTGAGATCACTGCCTTCGGGTCCGACTGTCTTCTATATTTGGCTCCACGTGTCGCTTTCTCGTGCAATCATTAAATATGAACATATTTTACCCCATGTAGATAGCCCTGCTTTCCGGTGGAATAACTTTATGATACCGGGAAGTTGGTAGAGATACCTTCCTTGGCGAGAAATTCTCTGACCCCCTTTGAAAAGTTTCTGACGGTTGATTAGACGCACGTCTCTCAGCATTTAATGCCCCAAACACGCGTCATCCTACAATTTTGCATTACTTTTGCCGTTTCTCGCGGTAATTATTGCCACGATTAGCCATCTATTCCTTTACTTATACGCATCAAACTTCTTCATCCACACTTCCTAATTCTCCAAACTCTCTTTACAACTTGTGCTTTGTCTTCAACCTTTCTTTAACCTTCTTTTTGAGAGAAAACTTTCCTTCTCTTCTGATGAAAAATGGCCTCTTCTTCCAGAAACCCTAGTTCCTCAAAGAACAAAGGTAAAGCTGATGACGTTGCTCCTCCTACGGTGAGCATCATCATCCTAAAGAGTCTTGTCACAACTAAGGACTTCGAAGACAAGTATCCTTCCGCTCACCATCGTTCGCGGGCCATTAGCGTATACCCTTCCTCCATCCGTCCTTCAAATATTCCTGCTGTGAAGGAAGACTGCCATTGCCAAGATTTAGACATTATCGCTCCTGATTTGGCAAAGCAGATAACCTTGCCCAATAAGGGTTTTACGTATTTTTATACGTATCCCTTCACCTTAAGGCTGTTCTCCTTGAGTGGAGAGCTTGACTCCGTCATCATGGAGTTCTACATTCGCTACCAGGTATGCCTGGCACAAGTAAGTCCTTCTGTGTAATGGACAATCGCTTGTCTTCGGCGTTTGAGCCAAAAGACGAGAGAGGAGCTAACCGTAGCTCGATTAATGAATCTTTGTTCCCCCAAGAAATTTGCGGGGAAATGATAAATTTCAGCAAGCGTGGCCACCATGCTCTACTATCCAGTATGGATGATGACAACGACTGTGGGTGGATGGAACTGTTCGGTATAGTTTCCACCATTGATATCATTCCGGCAATGACTTTATCCTTTCTGGAATTATGGAACCGTAAGTTCACCATTTGTCTTTTCTTCTATGACAGATCGTCCCATATCATTATTGACCCCTTTTCTTTCGCTTATTTCAGCACTCAGCGGGTACCATCTAGGGTTGAAGGCTTGGACAAGTGGGTCCGGAAAATTTTGGACATTACTACGCCTAAGACGCACGTGGG